GCCGGTGCACTGTGGGATGGGTAGCAGCATCCCGGGCCTCTCCCTACTGGAGGCCTGTAGCACCCCTCCCCGCCCCCCCCAAGCAGGGCAATCAAAAATGTCTCCAGACATTGCCAAATGCCCCTGGGGGCAAACCGCCAACTCTGAGAACCATGCTTTAAAGGGGGAGTCCAAAGCTTACGAGGACGTGCCTTGTCCTTAAAATCCACCCCGAAGTGAACTTCATTAAGAAAAATTGACTCGTTCTGTTTGTCTCTCGGCACCCAAAGCAAAGAAAGTGCTGCATTTCCTCAAGTGGAACATAAACCCCTAGGCGAATTTTGCCTGAAGTCCTGGAGTTGTGCACAATTCTGGAAAGGAAATCCAGAGTGGATACCCACAAAGCTTCCTGAGCTCAAAATATACCACTTTCTTCCATATATAGATTTGGAGTTTCTGGAACATTTATTATCCTTACAACAATTCCAGAAGGTAGAAAACCTACTGGGAAAAAAAAAAAAAGTGCGTATAATCACATTCATCAACAGAGATATGCCAAAGGCTAAAAAGTTGCTTTTTAATTGCCTTACACCTTCAAATTCAACACAGAATTATTGTGAAAAGGATCTGGTCTCATTTAAAACACACAGACAGGCACATATTTAATGCTCAGTGTTCTGAGGCTAAGCGGACTTTAAAAAGTAGGTGTCGTATGGAGCTAGACTGGGAATAGGCTTATTACCAGCCAGAGTGGAAATTGGCACAGTTATAAAATGGGTTCATATACCCGCCTAACCCTCGCTGTTTCTCTTGCTCTGAGGATAAAATCCAGTCTCTGTTCAAGGCCTTCACAAAAGCAGGGTGAAGACTTTGCCAAAGGTACACGCTCATGAAAGCTGAAATTTTAAAACTCATTAGGCCACTAAGCCTCAAACATTCTTTGGACCATCCGACCCCACTGGCCTCTGAAAAAGGGGGGAAAAAAGAGATACTAAGCAAGCCAGGGGAAAAACAAATAGAGCCATTTAAAAGCTTTATCTAATTACCCCCACTGAGACTTTTTCGCTGCAGTCTGGCCGGCGGACAAAGAAATGGGGGTGGGGGGGTGTGCCCTGGGTTGTCTCTACCTTATCAGGACCACCCGCCCTCAGGGAGTCTGAAAGGCCTCAGGTGAATCCTGCAAGGGCAGGAAGCACCCAGTCTCCCCAGTCTTGGGGACTTTACAGAGGCTTTCAAATTCTCTTAGCATTACTTGCTTGAATCACACTGAGCAAACATCTCCACCTTCTCCCACTTCTTTTGTCTGAAGCACCTATTCAACAGGCCACCACCTTCACTGATGGGCCGACGGGCTCCCCTGTACCCTGGAGTACCATCAGAAACAAGATGCACCAGGAACTGAAAGAACAGCTCCTTGAGCCCTCCTCCCAGGCTTCCCTTGGTCTCCACCAACCCACAGGGAGCAGTCTCTGGCTCTACTCCACATTGGCTTCCCTTCAAGCAAACGGAGAACACCCCGAAGGTGACCAGAGACCCCGAGACCGCCACAGTCGGCGGCACTGTCCCACAGGGCAGCCCACGTAAAAAGTCTGTCTCCCTGACTGCCCCCCCGCCCCGCCACCTTCCTTGTTCTGCTACCTCAGTTGTGGTGAAAACGCAGCAGATGGTTTTCCTCTCTATTCTGCCTTCTATGGGAGTGGGGAAATTAAAAATAAGTGATGCATTTCAGAAAGCACATCGTGTGCCTCCCTCTGTGTTTCATATGGTACACCTTTTACCTCTGATTTATGGGGAGGCCCCCCGGGGCGTGGAAATCACAATCTGACCCCTGCTTTTTGAAGAGGGCCCTGCCTCTTTCTACGCAAAATCACTAAGTCTGAGAGAGAAAGCGAGAATGAGAACTCATGCACCCTGCCCCCTCCCAAAGAACCCACCCAGTCTCTTAATTATATTTGGATATAAAAAAATGTTACTCAACTTTGCTTGTTCAGTAGGTCAGATGTACAGAAGCAACTCTGAGACGGGGAAACCTCTGACTGAGCAGGCTTGCCTTTCAACCAAGAGATGATGCTTCCCAACCATGGCTTTAGTTAATTGAGACTGCAACCATTTTATCTCACTGTACAACTTCAAGATCCTTACACCTACTCACAGCAGAAATGGTAGGTAAATCACACTTTTTTTATTTATTTATTTATTTATTTATTTATTTATTTATTTATTTATTTTACATTTGGTCACCCTTCCAAAGATACTCCAAATCTAATACAATTAATTTCAAAAAGGTATGAAAAACTGGGCTGAGTAAACTTAAGATGGGGAGGTGGAGTCCTATCAAAGCCTAATCTAATCTCAGGCAAGGGGGAAGACGACGATTGTCCTGTTATCAGGAGGGACTATATTGCATACTTTCTACTGATACTATATTACATTTCTATCTTTTGAATGCAAATCTGTTTAATAAAGAGTAATGGAAGACATCACTTTGTGGATGAGCTAGATTTTCCAAAACAAACTAAACAATCCGCTATGAATAAATGAACTAAGGTGATGTTGCGCACGTATATCCTCAGGAAGGGGAGGTTTAACCTGAACACATGGGTATCAGACAAGAAGTCCGCCCAGAGGATCTGCCATCTGACACCAGAGTTGGTCAGAGAGCATGAACTTCAATTAAAAGACACTTACAAAAGAGAGACAGATTATTTAAATATGATAACAAAAACAAAACAAACTTAACAGCCTACCTTCCTAGGTCAGAGGACATGGAGGATTCAGAAATTAATTAAATCTAGTAAATAATGTAAAACAGGGAAGGACTCCCTTTCAAAAATGCCTCGGTTAATTTTAGCATCCTTCTGTTTAGCTGCTTAGCAACCCTTATCCTATGACCTTTTAAGCACCACCTACTTTTCAGAAGGATAATGAATAGAAACATCAAAAGGATTCACTTCTGACTGTTTCTAGTGAGCACGTTTAACCAATTTTTGTAGAAGTTAAATTTATATTAATTATATCATACAAAACCCTAAAAGGGTAGAATTTTTTAAACATCATTAACCAGGAATTTTCCTTTGCTGAAGGTAATAAATGATGTTAACAACTGAGCATAAAGACAGCAAGCAAAGATTCCCAAACTGACCTTAGGAAGTAGATCAACACAGCAGTTTAAAATTGAAGAGTAAAAATGCAAGCCACATCATGGCAACTAGCTGCTGCCTGACGAGACAGCAGATAAACCAATAAACAACTCCATCAGATGCCCACTGACAGGGGAGGTTTGTTTTCCTTCTTCAACATTCTATACCTGGGTTGGATGCAAATAAGATCTCAGGAGTCTGCCTGAAGATATCTAAAATAAAAGACCCTTCAATCAAAAGGTCACTTGTTGGATGATGTAAATAGTTAGGAATGGATGCACCACCTGTGCTGAGTCAGACCCATCTTCCCCATCACAGAACAAACACTCGTCTGCCATAAGGGCCGAGGCTCTGAATTTCTGATGAGAAACTAAGTAGTCATCTAGAAAACCCCAGAGAATGATGTGCATCAGCAGCAAGTACCATATAACCAGCAAATCCTTTAAAAACAAAACATCCCAAAATGCAACCTGCTTAGCAGTATTTTTAAGAATGGTAAAACAGTGCAAGTTCATTAACAATCTAAAATGGAGCACAAGCTAAACAAATAACCAAATCAAAGGGCTCTCCCTTTCTTTTGTAAAAGTGGGGGTGGGTGGAAGAGAAGGTGTTTTTTCACACATTTAAAACTTGATAAAAGACATTCAAATGTTTAATTCATCAGTGTAACCAAAGCTCAAAACACATCAAAGCAGGATCCATCGGCGGGTACCCAGAAAGGTCCCTCCAAAATGCAGAGGTAAAACACAAACAAACAAACAAACAACAACAACAACAAAAAACCCCTAACATTAGTGGCTCACCGTTGCATGAATTTTTGGGAAGACTAATTTCGAACCCATTTCTTCAAAAGTTCTGTGTGACTCTTGAAGGAAGCACACAACTAAATGTTTAAGAAAAGGGGGGGAAAAAAGTTTCTGCCAGGACTCCAGCCTCTAACTTAGACTTCCGGGTTACACTGTGTCTTAGAACCGTACCTGCCTACCCGAAGAAGCACCAGGTCTAGAGGATGCTTTTAAGGGCTATGGGGAGAAGAAGGAAAAAAACCAACAACAACCCTAAAACTAACAAAAACCATTCTCTGCTCTGCAGTTCCCTTTTCTCCACCTTCCACTAAAACTAAACTTATTTCAGAACACACTCATGCGCATGCACAGACCACTTCATGTCTAAAAGAAAAAAAGACCTCAAAAATATGGGATGCACATTAGCAACTCAGCCTTTGCAGAAATCATCTCAAGTCTCCTCTTCGAGACCGAAATACCTCGCTATTTCCAGCATCCCTATCCAACAGACAAACTTTATTTCCAGTGACTTTTTAAAAGGCTAGGCTTAAATCTAAACTCTAAAACAAGCACGAGGCTTAATTTTCCTACTGATGAAAACCCTCAGACAGGTTTCTCAGCGTACCAAAAAAAGTTGTATTTTTTATTCACCCTGCTATCTCTCGGCACCACCACCACCACCACCATCCCCCAAAAAAAGAAGAAGAAAAAACTCCAAAGTGCCCCGAATGAGTGCTGCTGCTGGCTCTGAAGCCGTGTAGAATTTCGTAATGGAATGTGAACTGCTCGTCCGGATCTGGGCTCACGTTCTATCTTCTAACCAGTAAGGAGCGAGGGAGGGCAAATCTGCTGAGCAAGGAGAAATACTTTCCTCCTCTTTTATAACCCATCACGGATGCACCGCGGACGCTGGACGCGAGCTGCACGCGGCGCCTGTCAACCGGCCCGCCCGCTGGCCGGTCCCCGCGACCCCCGGGTCCTCGTGTCCCCTGCGCCCCTCCTCTGCCCGGGGCCGCCCCCGCCCCCCCCCCCGCCCGCCCGAAAAAGAAAGTGGCCCCGCAGAGAAGTGGGCTCCGCCACCGCGTCCCGCACTCACGCGCCTGGCCCGGCCCCGCGAGCGGCCGGGGAGCGAGTCACCACATCCTCGACGCGACCCTCGGCCCCTTCCAGAAAACACGCCGCTTCCCAGGGAGGGGGCCGGCGACGGGAAGGACCTCCCCTGCTCCTTAGCAACCATTAAGGTCGCAGTTTCCTAAGAGACCGCGAGTGGGGAGGGGGCGCCGGGGGCCGGGCCCGAGGCCGGGTTGGGGGGGGGCGCACTGGGTCCCCTGCCCCTCGACGCCGGCCCTCCCCCCCCCACCCGGGCCCCGGCTCCGCGCTGCGAGCCGGGATGGGAGGAGGAAGGGAAGCCCCAGAACTCGGGAAAAATTGGTCCAGCGGGCGGCGGACAAAAGTTTCCGAGCGCGCTCCACAGCTGGGCGGCGAAGCGGGCCCGGCGGCCGGCCCCGCCTCGGATGCTCCCGGCCTCCTTCCTGTGCTCGTGACGGCGCCGGGTGCCGAGGTCCCCCCCCCCCCCCGCGATGCAGGCTCCGCTCCACACCGCTGGCTCCCACGAAAACACGTACACCGCCTACGGAAGGGCAAGGGAACAATACGCGCGGACACGGCTCCGGCCCCCTCCTCCCCCGGTCACCCGGGGGCGGTGGTCGGCGTGACCCCTAGCCTGGAGCCGGGAACGGGGAGGGCGCAGCGTTGCCCGCGGCCCCCTCCCGGCCGGCGCCGTCCGCCGGGGAGGATCAAAGTCCGCGGAGCAGGGCGCGGCGGATGCTCCCACCGCGCAGCCCCGAGCGGGCACCCCCGAGCGAGCACCCCAGGCGGGCACCCCCGGTACCTTGCGGCGGCGGGCGGGCGCCGTCATCTCCGCGCTTCTCGGCCCGAGAGGGACTCGAAAGTATGTAGGAGAAAAGTTTCCCCTCCCACATGGGGGGGGAGGATGTCGGGGGAGAGAGGGCGGAAGATGGAGAGCAGCGCTGGGAAGATGTTTCTGGCCGGCGGTGCGCGCACCATCCGAGTCCCGGCGGTGCTGGTTAAAAATAAATTCCGCGGCGGGCGCGGCGGCGCGGGTCGGGCCGGATTCCTGCGCTCGGACGGCTAATATGGATGCGCATCAGGTCCTGGCGGCGGGGCGCTGCGGCGGCCGCGGCGGCTCGCGCTGGGAGCTGGTTGGCAGAGCCGGCAGCTCGGGAAGGGGAAAAGGAGCGGAGGAAGGGGAGGAGGAGGAGGAGGAGGAGGGGGAGGAGGGGAGGAGGAGGAGGAGGAGCGGCCCGGCGCGCAGCCCGAGGGGAGAGGGCTGCCCAGCTCATCCCCGGCCGGCCCCACCGCCCCGAGCGCACGTAGCGCGGCGTGGGGCGCTCGGGTCCTCGGCTCCGGGAAACGCCGAGTTTAAAAAGTACAACGCGCTCTGCACACTTCACCCTCCCCATCCCCAAAAGTTCTTTAAAAGGTCGCTCCCGCTCAGCCCTAGACATCTCGCTGCCACCCGAGTACCGGGAGCCGGAACCCCGGGCGCGTACTTACGGCCCGGCAGGGCTCTTGGCTCCCAGGCATGATGCAGTGGGCACCGGTGGGCTTCAGGGAGAGAAAGAGGAGAGATGCAAACTTGTTCCGGAAAAGGAATCAAAATGGCGTTTCTGGATGTGCAAAGTTCATCAACTCCGCAGTCACTTCCCCTCCTCCTCTTCTCCCACAGGGAGGGAGGTGGGCGAGGAGCTGGCGACCCCGGCGCCCCAGCCGTCGTCCCGGCCCCCGCCTCGGCCCCCCGCCCCGCTTCCTCGCCCGCACGCTCGGAGACTCGCTCTCCCCCTCTCACCCTGATAAGTAGACACATCACGTGTTGCTCCTGCGAGTCTCCTGGGGACGTGTTACTGAGCGGCGGCGGCGGCGGCGGCTCGGGCTGGGGAGTGGGGGGGCCCGCGGTACCCGCGGGTCCCCACCGCCGCCCCCGCCCCGATTTTAGCTGGGCGACCGCAGTTTCCATCCCGGGATGGATGGAGGTGGAGGCCCCCACCCCACCCCCACCGCAGCCCCAGGTTTGCCCCCACGCCCTCCGCAGGCGCCCCGGGCCAGGGGAGGGCCGGGCCGCCCCAGGGGAAGGGTCTCGGCCGCCGCAGCTGAGCGCGATCGCGATCAGCCCAGCGCTCGCCGGCCGGCCACCCTCTTGGACCACCGCGCCCCCTCCCCTCCAGCCCCTCACTTGCGGGCAACTCCCCGCCCCCGGCTTTCCATCACTTCACTCCAGGGTTTGTTTCACTATTTTAACGGAGGAGACTGAGAGGCAGCGATGCCCGGGAGGCGCGAGAGGGGCGCCCCGGAGGCCGGGGCGTGGGGGTCGGGTTCCCTGGCCCGGCACCGCCCCGCTCGGTCTCGGAGGCAAACGGGAGGGTGAGCCCCACCCGCTCCGTTCCCTCTCCACGCGGTCCTCGCTCTGCATCCAGGTGGGGCGAGTAGATGATGGGGCAGAAGATTAAGGAACCAGCGCTTCACCCCGCCCCCAACTTAGGGCTGTTTCTCTCCCAGGGCCCGGTCCTTCTAGCCCTGGGGCTGCCGCCCGGGAGGGAGCGTGCTCTCCGTCCAACAAATTCAAAGCTCACTCGCCTTTTGTCACCTTCCCTTCCCCACACTCCACAACTGATGCTTAAGCGGGGGCTGCCTCGCCCCCAAGGGGCTGAGGATGGCACAGGCTCCTACCGCCCCTGTGTCCCCACCCCGCGACGGCACTGCTGATGCTGTGTCATCCACGTCGCCCTCCGAGGCACCAGGGAAGCCACACGCAATATCTCTTTCTTTCAGAGGGCTCCTGTTTCAACTCTGAAACGCAGGGGCCCTCCTTGGAGATGCCTGTTCTCCATCCCCAAGGCGGCTGCCACCAGCTTCGGCGTGGCTTAGGCGGCCCAAGTTATCACGGAGCCCCAGAGAAACCAGGCCCGGACTGCTCTTCCTCCAACAAGCAGCTGACATGTTTCCCACTGTTAATACTTTTCCTACCAGGGTTCGGCGAGGGGCCTTTGGAAACATCTTTAGACAGACAGGGGATGATTGTGGTTTTGGAAAATAAACACCACCCCACTCCCCCAGTTTCTGAGGATAAATGTGCCTCCTAAATACTTGTAGAGAACACTGCAGTAGAATTAAGCGTTGGAGAGGAGTTAGTAAGATGATGTTGCAGGTACAGAAAGCTGGCTACTCTCTACTATGACCTTTGACCCTGGCTCTACCACACCAACTTTGCCCTACAAAGTTGTAAGTGCAATCACGGCCCTCTAATTTGTGCCACAGGACCAGTGGCACTCCGGTTTTCAGGGCTACAGATAGGAAAGAAGTGTCTATGTAGGTATGGATGAAATTAATGGATTCTGGCCAAGACAGAACTTTATAGAACCAAGCAAACGCAGTTGGACCATTACCTCTGACGGGAGATAAGTAAGCCAAACCACTGCCCAAGAGGGAACCGATTCAGCTGCTTATTTCTCTGACGTCCAGAATCATCAACATTAAGTTTTCAGAACCTGTTACGTTTCCCAGGGCTGACTGTTTACTGAGGAAAACTAGTCAGAGAAACTTAAGCACTTGCATTTTCCTATGCCTCCCCGCTACTCCCACCCCATGTCCCCAAGTGTATTATCAAGTGCTTTTGTGAAGGCAGGCCTGCCGGAGGAGGGAATGGGCAGGTCTCTAAGCAGGAGTAATAGTTCACATGCTCACCGCAGAATTGGTGGCTGGAGCTTCTGAGTCGTAACGTGGTCCAGGCAGAAGGCAAAAGAAGGGCCAGGTAGGGAATGCTAGTTTATTTAGTTGCCTTGCCTCGAGATTCAAGAATTATCAGCCATTCCTGGTCTCCCCGGCAAGTGGTAGGTTTGGAATAAGAACAACATCAGAGTTGGAATTCTGCTTGTAATTTTAGCTTATTCTGTAAAATACACTGAAACTTGCAAAGCTACATGAATTTTCATGACAAATCACCACCTTTATAATGTCATCCAGATAATACTGGCAACTAAAAAGAGAGAAAACCGTTTAGAAGTAACTTTTAAAAAACTGAATTCTAGGGGTGCCTGGCTGGCTGGCTCAGTCGGTAGAGCATGTGACTCCTGATCTCAGGGTCATGAGTTCAAGCCCCACGTAGGGCATGGAGTCCTACTTTAAAAAAATAAATAAATAAAAATTGAATTCTAATGATACAGGGCTCTGTGTTCATCTTTTCTAGCTAATTAGTGAGCTTGGGAGTCAAATGAGTTGTTCAAAGTTCTGTTTGTTCATACTCAATATAAATATCATTTATCTGACAAATATTTATTGGACATCTAATAGGTTAAAAGAGTCATGCTATCTAAACCAGAGAGAAATGCCTCTCCACACCCACTCAGGATGGCGAGAATCAAAAAGACAAATACTAACAAGTATTGACAAGGATGTGGAGACATTGAAACCCTCATACATTGCCAGTGGGAATGTAAAATAGTGCAGCCACTTTTAAAAACAGTTTGGCAGTTCCTGAGAATGCTAAACATAGCGTTGCCATATGATCCAGCCATTCCACTTCTAGGTACATGCACAAGAAATGAAAACATATGTCCACACAAGAACTTGTACACAAATGTTCAAAGTGGAAACAACCTGAATAACCATCAGTTGATGAGTTACTAAACAAAATGCAGTATATCCATACACGGAGTATTAGTCAAAAGGAATGAAGCAGTGACAGGTGCTATATTATCAACAATGTTGAAAACATACTAAAGAAGCCAGACCCAAAAGGACAAATATTATAGGCTTCTGTTTATATGAAATATCTAGAAGAGGCCAATCTATAGAAATAGAAAAGTAGATTAATGGTTTGCCTAGGGTTGACAACTTAGGGAAATACGGGGATTGACTACTAATGTGTATGGAGTTTCTTTCTGTTCTTTTTAGAACCATGAAAATGTTCTAAAATTGATAGTGGTGATGGTTGCACACTCTGAATATACTAAAAAACACTGAATTGTACACTTCAAATGGATTATTTGTATGGTAGGTAAGTTACAGTTCAATCAAGCTGATACGTATATACATCAAGAAATTGTGCTAGGTTCTCTAGCAGAGAAGTGATACAAAAATGGATAATTCATATCCATGCCTTAAAAGAATTTATAGTCTAATATCTGCATCCACATGAAGTAATCATGAAATGCAGACCAACGTATTAAGAACCATTAAATCGGCTGCAAGTTTCAGGGGTTCAGAGAAAAGAGATCACTTCTAATAAGAGTGATCAAGAAAAGCTCCATGGAAAAGAAAGCCAATGGAGCTGAGCCATGGAGAACAGCTAGAAATTTTGTAGATGGAGCCTGGGATTAGAATCAGCAGATGCAAAGGCATGATTGTAGCAAGTCATGGGTCCTGTTCACAGATCAGGATGGAATCTAGTATGGCCGGATTATGACATATACAGGAATATGCGGTGACACGACCAAAAGGTAAAC